TATTATAGATGAATATCATATCATAAATAATATCGAAATAACATATTAATTATTACAGTGCCAGACTTTAAAGCCAATACAAATAATACAAGCATGTCCTGTATAATTCTAGATACTATAACTCAGATATTACTTCGATCAAGACGGAAAATCAAGAATTTTTAGAAAAGAAAGCCCCTATCGCTTTGATCCCATATTTTCGTGAGCAAAGTACTGTTCTTCTCGCAGACAGAATAGAACTCTAGTCCGCAGTAATAGAAGTAAGAATAGGATTTGTAGGTAGTATGGAAGCGAGCGACACAATTGGCACCACTATTCCAGCCGTTCGATGACGAGTCCCCAGGCGGCACTAACCAGTCGCTAAAAAAGCAATATGGAGGGCTGGCCCGAGTAATCAAACTATGAGAATAAACTTACATATGGCGCGGATTCATACCACCGGGTTCCTTCCACAAAGGCGTGTTCTCATCATCCTCCTGCTCCAGACCGGTCCAAGTTAGATCGTTCACAGGTGTGAGGCTCATTACTTTTGTCTGAATAAAAGTAATGTGGATTTCAGTCAGTCAAGGTATGGGAAAAGGTAAGTTTCCTTCAACTTACCCATTCTTCCATGGAATCGGCTACAAACATTGTTGATCCCCTCTCTAGACATCTGACTTCGGCCTTATCAAAGCGCATTTTCACGTGCTCAATGAAATAGCACGAATCACGATACTCCACCCAGCCACTAGAACATCTCGAACGAGGTTGTTGCACCTAAAGCAGTTTGTATAAAGGATAAGGTCCATATGAACACAGAATCAACAAAATTAAAGTGTTGCGGAGTTCCCACACCCTTGGGTGGGCCCAATCATGGTCGCGTCTCGTGTCCATTTTCATCCTCTCCCCAACTCCATGGGTGGTGCGCTATGCCATACCTATATTTCGGTGGGATCATCGATGGATTTTTCGGCCTCCCTAGCGTAAGAATTCTCCACCCACGGGGGTTGTGTCTCAAAGAAGCCGTCTTTATCCAGCATTCTTATCTGAGACTGAGGACCTGTTCATGAAAAACGCATTGCCTCGAGATTTTCGAATAAAAGAAAGGGATCGTCAGTGTAAAAGCGCAGCTACCTACGGCATCCATAGACTACCCGAAAGGTGAAGGTGGTGACTACCCGCTTTTCAGCTCGAGTTCAGTTTTACCTTACCTTGGGTCCACGGTGGTGATAGAACCTCCTGTATGGATTACATAGAACAAGGTTGAGAATAAGGACGAGAAATATGTACCTAAAAGCAGAAGTAAAGCGATTAAGTGTCTGCTGAACTAAGAATACAGTAACTGGACTTACTTCGTGAGCATGACTGCAAAGGGCACACCTATCACCAATGACGTTAAGAGATGGTATAGCCGTCGCCTTTTTAATAAGGCAACTGCTGACCTTATGCGTGCCAACGGCGTATCCTCATGCGCAAACTATGAGAAAGGTCACTGTACTTGTGGAACATTGATCGTGTGGAACATTGAGCTGTACTTGTGAACATTAATTGTTCTATTCTCATAATATCGTAATGACCATGGGTACACTCCATATCCTGGAGGTAGGGAGGGTGTGGCGGTGTACATCATTTGATCATGGCGTAGTGTGCATTTTTCGAGGGATTCTTTCACTGGAAAAGTTGTCATGCCTTCTGGTGCTGGACAAATCATGACTGAAGTAGTCCCAAATAGTGATATCCCACCAAAAGCGCAGCCGCCATCACGTCTACATGAAATATTCACCCACACCCTCCCATTTCAGGCATGTGAAGGATAGCAGGCGATGGAAGTTCAAGAGATAGTGAGGTGTTTAAGGCAACTACACTCACACGATGAGTAACAGTTGTTCCAAAAGGAAATATTTAGGAAACACATAACCTGCACCATGTCAAATGAAGTGCGCGGCCACTGCCTCCCTATCGCCTGCACATGAGTGCAGAGGTTGTCACGCTAAGTGAAGAGGTGAAGGGGTTCGCAGTTATGCGAGTCATAGAATGTTCGAGTTGCCAGCTAGTCTCTCTCCTATAAAAGGACTTGTCCAATAACAGACAACTGTTTGTGCGGAATATTCCCTTGACGTTTGTTGGCTCCAGATGACCAGATTTCACTTATCGCAACAACAGCACCGCTTATCCTTCAACCGAGTCGAAGGAAACCGTAATCTATTATAGATACTAGTTCAAATAAGTATGAAAGACCTCCAAAGCCTCACTATGCGGTGAAAAACTCGTAATTCCTAGTTCACTGCTCCGATAGCCGCTTTCATTGCAACCGAGGCGCGACATGCTCATGGGTGTGCATAAGTGGGCTGAGTTGAATGGCGCAATAGCTAAGCGCTTAACTGTAGCGCAATTACTCACGAGTTCGAATCCGGCCGATGACGAATCGTGCAGGGGTCCTGAAATCGGCCGCTATGTGAGCCGACGATGCCTCGCAACTGAGAACGTCGGGTTCCCGGTTGAGAGGTGTTGGAAAGACAGCACCCGCCTGAGGTCATTTTGTTTTCACTACCATGGTCATTTCTTGACCTAGCAACCGAAGCAATGTACATCCTGCCGTTGGGAAACCTTTGGACGAACACGACCCCTCCCTCCTGTTCCCAAATTTTCTCAGCTTTCTGTCGCTTCTCTGGGGAAACACCACTTTTATTCAAAAAGCTGCTGTCGAGCGAAGGAGTGGAGAGTTTGTCGTCCATTTTCTCGTCATCCCATTTTCCACATTTTCTGTACTCTTTTTAGCCATAGAGATTCAAGCGAATCTCATCTGGACCCTCACCCCCCCAATCTCATCATTTATCTTTATCGAATGTTCCTCTTCTACAGCCAATATTCCCTTCCTTTACACTTCCCCTGCTTACACAGTTTCTCTGTGAAACATCTTTATTAAATACCTTAACATAAACATTTCCATGCAATATTAATTAAAAATTAAATACTCTGTTACTAATCCTCATTTAAATCAGAATTTGTGCTAAATTTTCCTAATTAACTTGTTTAAACTATGGTTCGTCATCCATAGATATACGAGGTAGAACTGGGACCGGGAAACCATGACGAGCATCCTTTTCGGGCCACGAGTACAGATCGTTGATTGATGGCTCATAATTATAGTTATAGACTTGTTGACGAATGAACATTTCCTACAAATGAAGATCGTCAGAAAAAAAACAGATTTAGGCGCAGTTTGGCGACGTGAGGAGGAAGGGATCTTGTACTTTTGCTACTTCCCCATCAGCGCGTCAATTCATCAAGTGGAGGGAGACCTGTGAAATCATCTTTTGAACTCAATGATACCAGTCAAAGCGAGAGCACTTGTCAACCCTTGCAAAGCAGTGAAATACCATACAATTACCATCTACCATGGTGGCTAGACGAGCTTACTCCACCTTCACAAGAGTTTACAGGTCTCACCAAACTGAGACTTGTGAACCGGAGTACTGAAGTAGGTGAGAGTGCAAAATGCCCCAGCCTCCCGTCGCAAACCACCGGTCTTTTATTTTCCTTCTTGAAGTTTGAACAAAAGGAAGAAAAGTGATTTAGAAGAGACCTTGTCCTCCGGTTCAGGATGGAGCGTGGCAAGATTGTTTTCATAGAGATGATTACCAATCTGAAATTTGAGAATTTTTATTGAAAAGAAGAAGAAAGAAAAACCATGAATAGTTCCCCAGCACCGAGAAAAGCAACATTATAAACAAAACGATCCTTTAAACTCACATCGAGTGCAATGTTGACAGACAGTTCACGAATATCCTTGAGCCGTGGATAAAGTCTCGAGTATTCGTTCAGCGACTTTTCAGTCACCGATGCAGCAACTCGCTTAATAACATTCTATAGTCAATATACAATGGGAGCTACCTGGTTTTTTGGTCAATAAGCTGGGCGTATATAGCTCAGACGATGAAGGCAAAATGGGTTGAAAAGACAAGTTTGATCGAAGTTTTTTTCTGAGAATTGTTTTGAAAGAGCAAATCTGCGACGTCGCCATTGTTAAATAGCCATTAATATGGAGACCTTATGAGACATTTCATCATGTACTTTCATGGCCGGTACAGGTACAAGTCAGTACACTCAAGGTTCGGCACCGCGCACTAACCAGCTAGTACTCCTAGCTAGCTGGCCTGAAATAGCACTCTAGCGTTAAATCAACTAGATCATGGAAAAAAACCTATTACACCGCCTACTCCGTCATGCACATTCATACTTTGCGGCTGGTCGCCCTGGATAAACCGAGACGTTTTTGGGATGGGCCGATGGTAATCTTCGAAGCCTCAACGCCCGCCTGGACCCCTGCGGGAGTACTACATTAAACACCAAAAGAGCTACGTCGGGCTCAATTAAGTAGGCGAAGGTTTTTTTGCTTTGGTTTTCAAGCGCCGGTGCGTTCTCCGGGTGGGCTACTCTAACTTCACACGGCTGGGAAAAAAAGGATGAGTGAAATAACAAAACAGAAACGAACTTCAGTTACATACTCTGGCTTTGCAATGAAGTGGGAACGCTTTCTCTGGAATGTGCTTTGCCTTGAAGAGAATAGCGCCTAGCGCCACACCGGGGAAGATATACGAGTTATTGCCTTGACCAGGTTTGTATACTTTTCCATTCAACTCCACATTATCGAAAGGAGATCCAGATGCGAACAAAACGGTGCCCTAAAGAAACTCACGAATGTCACTGTTATTTTTGTGAAGGAAAAAATCTACACACGAGTTCATTCAGACAGAGGCCAGGGGACTTACTAAAAATTATTAGACGAGAAGAACCGTAAAAAAGACTCACATTGGTGTGTTTATAGGCATCCTCAGCCGTACACTCAGATTTGATCGTAGGATTCGAAAGAGCAAATATGATCGGGCGAGCATTAATGTTGGCCATTTCGCGAATAATTTCAGGGGTGAAAGCGCCACCAACCGTCGAGATGCCTAAGAACGAACACATAAACAACTTGCGTTTCACTCTCAGTCCGTTCATACTTTGAGTCAGCGCTCTGAGCGTACGCCAGCGTTTTGACCAGAAAAGTATACGCATCGATCCTGCTTTGTGCGCGTATTCTCATAAGCTAAAACGCTGGATCGGTACCTTTTTTTTCTAGTCGCCCTACTACTTGGAACGCTGGCGCGAAGTATGAACGCGCTCTTGAATCTAAACACATTGTAACTAGAACTGGTGGTCAAACATGAGTAAAAGCGAGGTCATGACAAAACTTTGGAAGCCAACAATCTCCACCTAATTTACGGAGAACTTACCTAGAAGAGCGGTTGGCTTGACCATTTTGATCACTTCGAGAAGGCTTGCGGTTTCTGGGAGATCCTGGAAATAAACTTTCACAAATGAGGAGCTCGCTCCTTGCAAGTAGCGTGTGCAGTGAATGGTAGCATGAATCAAAAAAGAGGGAGCAATATGAAAACTCTGCTATTACCGCTGGAGAATTTTAGCTTTGTTTACTTTCAGTACGATTATGTCTCTGTCCCGGGAAGTAATAGTGACCTGGAATCTGATCAACAAATTATCTTTTTCACTGAACTACCCCCTCAGCTGCACATGTGATTATGTGGGCAGAATCACTTAGATTACTGCACCGTCCGCATTGGTGCAGCACTCCTTCCCGGTTTTATATAGAGGGGTCCATCAATGACAAGGGGTGACAGCAGTCCAAGGAACTGCACCAACACGACTAGCACGAAGTGTGCCTTTGAGTCCACCCGACAACATCAAGTTCTTTACGATGGAGTTCATGGATCGTGATCTCATCAGCAATAACTCATTGATAATCGTTGTTTGCTTACAGTTCTATGGGGGAAGGGGCAGTTGGGCGACGGAGAGGGGCATTTTGCCCTTTTGCTACTTATCATCGACGTTTCGACCCATCTATAGAGCTACTTCACGAGCTTACAAGAGTCGACAGGTTTCATCAGAACGAGACTTGTAAACTGGAGATAGTGAAGCAGCGAAAGTGCAAAATGCTGCCCCCCCGCCCCTCGTCGCCGAACTGCGCCTTCTGTGATGTTATTGACAGGTAACTAACCTTCCCATATAGCTGGTGACGGGGAGTGAGCGTTTTCGCACGATCCTTGGTAATCAGGCCTTTGCTGTTCAACAAGAATATCTTTTCACGAGCTTGTTCTTCAGTTAGTCCTTCATCCATCATCTGCATCACGCATAACTCAGCTATGCCCAAGCCGGCCTAAAAACCACCATGTAAATACCGAACGAATCTCAAAGAAACTGTTATTATCTACAGTAGCTGAACAAGTATAGGTGCAGTCATGATTCCTGCAAACGATAGGGCGTGACTTGGAGTGTGGTCAGGACAGGCTTCCCACCACTTATAGCAAACTCAAGATGACTTCTTTGGTAGAAAAGGTCTTGCTGGCTACGCTCCAAGCCACGCCTCGTCATACGCACTTTCGTTTGCAGGGATAATGAGTGTTGGATGCGGCGCAAATTCTCGGGTAGTTTGTCGTCATACGTGCATCGTGGAAAGAAAGCTCATCCTAGCCCTAATGCACCTTTACGAAATTCGCTCATAAAGCAGAGAACCCTATTTTGGCGCTTCATCGTTATGACAACTCAAAGGACCTCACCGATCCAGCCCCGAGGAACACTATTTTTTGCTGTGACAGTTTCGTTTTGGTGACACGAGTTGCAGCCAGAAGACCTGCGACAATAACCGCCGCCGTACCTGGAAACATTTTTCAGTTCTTTTTTTGACTCACCAGTATTTAAGATCGACTTACCCTGAATATCGTCGTTGAACGTGCAATAATCGTTCTTATATCTGTCCAGCAATGTAAAGGCATTCGCAAAGGCAAAATCCTCAAACTGAACCAGCGTGTCACGACCGAATCTTAACACAAATCGGAACATTCCAAGCCTACAGTATATAACCTGAGCAGACGTCACCTCTTGGTTACTGCCTTCATGAAGTTGTCAATCAGACGGTCATATTCTGGACCGCGGACTCTTTTGCGTCGGAGACCAATGTAGAATGGGTCATCCAACAATTTCTGAAGCAAAGTAATCGCAATCAAGCAACTAGTCAATCTTGATTTTTAATTTTATAGTCATCCAGCAGCAGCTGTTATCGCGACTCCCCTGCTGCATAGTTTTAGTTTTCCCGATGCTTGAGTGAGTAGAGTCTCCCCCTCCCCCATCTCCTTTGGCATCCTTCAGAACCCATGACTGCATTCCGGCACGACTAATCTTGAGCCATTTATCTGCTTAATGAAGTGTAAACAAGACCTGATTATTAGTGCCGACGTCGAGAACAACCGGAAGACACCACTGAGGTTGAACTCCTCCAAGAGCAACATAGAGACCTAGTTTACCAACTGGAATTCCCATACCGTAGGCGCCCAGATCACCCAGGCCGAGAATTCGTTCACCATCAGTCACCACTATAGCCTGAAAGGTGACAAGAAGGAAATTAAGAACGAAAAGCGGGAGTTCGCATCACCTCTTGCAAAGATTCTTGAGCTGCACTCTTACCTGTACGTCCTGTATTGGCCAATTGCATAGAATTTGATAAATTTTACTAATACTGTTGTCATTGATGGTTATGTAGAGTCCTCTGAAAAATAAGTTGTGAGAATACTTGCGAAGGAGGAAAATCTCAGACAATGAGAAAACCCACTGACTTTGGATGCCGATAGATGAATCCAAACTTTTGGCAGGCCAAACCGACTGTAGGGGTATACACAATAGGCATCAATTCTTTGACATTTTCACAAAGAACTCGATAGAATAATTTTTCAGTGCGACGCTGCAGCTCATCCATGATGATATACCTTAAAATACAACTTGTTCCAGTAGAAGATTACAGAAAATCCCAGGTTGCTTGCAAGTACGCGGAAGTTCGTGCGTAGCAATCGATATCCGTCCTTCTCAGAGAATAAAACTACGTCATACTTCGCGACTCGTACCATTCGGTCGTTCTAGTTGTGTTGCTGTGAGCGAAGGCACTACACCGCCAACCATTGAACCGCTGCAACTTCCACTATTTCAATTATACCGGCTCGTTTTTTCCATGCTGCAATCTCGTCCCTTCACCAGACTTTAATACTGAACAGCTGACCCTTACCTTCACCTATTCTTGGACCAATAATCGGAACATTTCCGGATCAATATGATTAAATTGGAAGGTGCAGGGTTCAGCGATCAACGGCAGAGCGTCGTTGGTCAACTAGGCCACGTTCATACTTGCGATTGAGTAGATTCGGCGATTCAGGAAACTGAGCAATCGACGTCTCCAGAAACTCGATGATCCGGCGTTTTAGGAGATTGAGCGATCCGGCCTTTGGCGCTTTGGAAGACTCGGCGATTCGGGCTGTAGTGCGCCAAGCGAGTGGATAGGTATCGATCAACGCTAGATCGCCGAATCTACGCATCGCTGGCGACCGGAGCCGATCGATACCCCACTAACTTGACGCGCAATCACCCGAAACGCCGATTCGCCCAGAACCTCGAATTGCCGATCCTCCCCAATGATGAACGATACCTTCACTTTCCTCGTCGAACAATCTCGAATCGCGAGCTTTCCCGAATAGCCTAATCGCTCAGTCGCAAATGAATGCGGCCTCAGAGAGGTTGCATTAGTCAAGTCGGTGAAGTATGAACGCCTACAGATACGAAATAAGAAATGCAAGCAGCTAGCACGCCAGCGTAGTGCCAGAGAGCTACCAAGTTTGATCAGAATGCTATGAATAGGTAGACCAGGGTAATTATAATAACTGCAACCAACTTCTGCAAGTTGTCCGGTTCCTCTCGAATTCTCTTCATTACACGGTATGCTTGCTGTTCCTGAGTCATGAAAGCCGGCGGCAAGAGGCCATGAATCCCGAGGTATTGACGCTCTTTCAGCGAGAATGCCATGCCCTATAGAAAACTTGCAATACACTCAAAACACACAACCAAAGACGAGAAGTAGAAGTTCCGGGCATTTGATCCGTTATGAGGAAAGCCACTGAGAAGGTGAGACATTCACATTCGAAGGCTTCGATGAGTAGCCCTTCCCCAACTACGCTAGCGCCTCACTACGACATTACAGATTCGAACTTTACACCTATGAGAGCGACCCACCCACCCCCACAGTCCCCTCGCCGTGGGAAAACCCCTCCCCTGCCACATGTACTCTTCATCTTTCAGTAGTTTGGCCATCGTTGTCTTCTATCTGTCCAAGTTGTATACGACTCTGGCCGTCTGCATTCTACTCTAGGCCATGGTTCAGGGGAAAAGACGCATAGTCGCTGCCGCCCGCACAAGTTCCACTACCTTAGGCCGCGTTCATACTTTGCGACTGGAGATAATCGACGATTTGGGAGACTGTACTATTTGAGAGATCGCGCGAAAGTATAGGTAGCAATCTGGCGATGGCGGTGGTTTGAGAGGTTCGACGATCTTCCGAATCGCCGGCCTCTCAAAAACCGTCGCATTGCTCAGACTCCACACTCGCCAGATGGATATCTACACTTTCCTTTTCGCGCAATTTCTCGGCTCGCCTCTCCTCTTCAGTGGCAAAGTATGAGCGCGGCTCTAGCACCTGCCACCTTCACCTTAACATCGTACACTGTGATTTCGAGCTTTAGGGCTGCATTCATCGGTTTACTAACACCACTGTAGATGATATAGAAAATTAACCTTGTTCAGTCGTGGAGTATTGAGAAGATTGTATCCTTTCTCATTTGGTGTAACTCTTTCTGGGCGATATAGCTTATGCAGTGCCAGTTTCTTCGGATCGCTCAGATCAGGCTCATATTTCTTCGATAGAGCAGCTGCCGACGTACAGATAGCACGAACATGGGTACAAATACTGAAAATACATCAACCCTGGTGAATAAGCACACTAATAATCGTGTCAATGGGGCAAAATCAGCACAACTCACTGGTTGTGTCGTAGCGCACAAAGCATTTTTCAGATCTTTTGAAGATCAGTAATCACCTAAAAAGGCAAAGTTGTCAGAGCGAACTTTCAAGGATGGTGAAAAATGGAGAAAAGGATGGAATCAACGAGCGGACGATGGCCACTGAGCCGACAAGCAGAATACCCATGCTACTGGCACCACCAATTGATCTGGGAGGATATCGTAGATCAACTGGGAGAATCCAACTCACCAAATCTCTGGTCGTGAGTTGTCGACCATCCAGTAGGACCAGAATCGAGTACTGATCCTTTTTCGCCGTGACGTGGTGATGAACGATACATTGACAGGTTGGAACACGAATGACCACGTTAGAACATACCAATAAGCTGTATATAGGCAGACTTCTTTATTGATTTCTTTATCTCTTATCTCTCGCCGTGCCAGCAAAACAGGAAGTTCAAGGGGTTCCGTGTGCAAAATCTCAATATTATAATACGGGAATCCCCTTTGCGCGGGGAAATCGTGTCTATGTACCTGGGAGGGGTGGAGGGAATACTCACTCTGGTCACTTCTCCCAGCAAGGCCAAGTTGAGAGCGCAGACGGTCAGATTGCGTAGCGCGTCTGCTCTGCAAGTGTGCCGCGGAGTTTGCGGACAACTTGAACGTGGTACCTTTACGTGGATTTGCAACAGGGCAAATGTCACGTAAGCGACTCGCTGCAATTCTGAGGGTATGTAGCGGTAGGACCACGCGGCGTCGCGCGCGATAATTGCAAGTACCGTATGGTTACGGTCGCGCACGCGACGGTTTGTTTTCCCGACGGTGACATTTTGTTGCTATTATTCCAACAGGGCAGTTCGTCGTACTCATCAATACGACCGTAGGTCTGTGAAAGTATGCTGTTCAGAAAGCATTGTGACATTGAAATGGTAAGGAACCAGCAGGTAAGCTGAATTGTCTCGCGAGCAGAACCTGGGCAGGTTTTTCTGCAGTTTAATTGCAATATAAACACACTAGTTATCCAAATAAAACAAAAACTAGCGGTCATGACAATCCAGGTCCTGTCGGAGAAAAGAGCGAGGCTGGAAACTGAAGCGAACACAATTTAACTTGATGAGTTTATAGCGAGCGTGCGCTTCATTGCAAGCCCGCGGTATTTGCAGATAGCCGGCACGCGAGGTCGCGTGGTACTAAAGACCGTCTCCCTAATTCTAACCGTTTTGTTAGGCATGAGCTTTGACTAGGGAGTGACGCGGCGGGGACGTTCTGGAGTGGCTATTTCTCCCCACCCCCCCCCCCTCCCCAAAACTGCGCTTGCAGAAATTCTAGTTGAAAATTGCAGGTCATTCTTGCTCTCATTTTCCACTCAGGATGTTCTTTGGGACCAGATTTAGCATGAGCAGATATGGGGGGGGGGGGAATGAGCTGCAGTCTCTAGGGACTGGGTTGGCTCATCTGGGTTTGGCTGCGTTCATACTTTGAGGGCAGCGTCCACCAGCGTTCACTAGCGTTCCGAGCATCCAGCAGCGTCAGCCTCTAGAGAAGTGCAGATATGGATCTATTAGGTTGTCCGGAAAGTTCTCAGCGTTTTGTGTTACTATTTTTTGTACATTCATTGCTGATTAAAAACTCATTCTCCCTTGCGTCTCAGTAGTACATCCTGAAGAGAATTCTTTGCGCTATCTGATGGTATAATTGCCGTTTCACCATTGCTTGATAAACCCCCTTTTCCCAAGACTTTTTGAAGCATGTCAAAAGAGCAACTTCGGACGATTTTTTTCTTCGACTATAAATTGGGGCAATCCGCAATCGAAACAGCTCAACAAATTAACCAGGTGTGGGGGCCCAATAGTGTTGGAGAAAGCACCGTGCGACAATGGTTCGACAAATTTCGTTCTGGAGATTTCAGCCTTGAAGATGAACCTCGTAGCGGTCGACCTAAAGCAATACCTGACGAGGATTTGAAGGCGTTTGTGGAGGCTGACCCATCCCAAACAGTTCGAGAGATTGCAGAAAAGCTAGGCGTTGGCAAATCCACTGTTGCAGATGGTCTGGAACGCATTGGGAAGGTGAAAAAACTCGACAATTGGGTGCCCCACAATCGGAGTGACCGGCAGGAATCGGCACGTCTCGAGGTTCCTTCTGCATTGCTTTTGCGCAGCAGAAACGACCTGTTTTTGGGCCGAATTGTCACCTGTGATGAAAAATGGGTCATGTATGATAACAGGAGACGTTCCGGACAGTGGTTGGATTTCGACGAACCACCGAGGCAATTTCCAAAGCCGAATCCTCACGAAAAAGATTCTGGTCACAGTGTGGTGGTCATCGGCTGGTGTGATCCACTATAACTTTTTGTCACCAGGCCAAACCATCACAGCAGAGTCCTACTGTGAAGAAATCGACGAAATGTACCGAAAATTGCGTCAGCTGCAGCCAGCACTTGTCAACAGAAAGGGTCCGATTCTTTTGCATGACAACGCCCGCCCACACGTTTCACAAATCACTATCCATAAATTGAACGAATTGGGGGTTGAAGTTCTACCTCACCCGCCATATTCTCCAGACCTTTCACCAACCGACTATCACCTTTTCAGACATTTTCAGAACTTCCTTGCTGGAAAATACTTCATCAACAGGACCAGGCAAAAAAGGCCTACATGGACTTCGTGGATTCTCTACCACCCAGTATTTTCTTTATCGACTGGTGTCACATTGGCAAAAGTGTGCTGATTCGAATGGTGCCTATTTCGATTAAATCCGATGAGTATTAAAAAGTTACGATCGTTTGAAGTGAAACACTCAAAAACGCTGAGAACTTCCGGACAACCTAATAGCATCTGCCGGCGTCTGCCAGCGTCTCGAGAGCTAGAGAAGCACAGGCATCTACCTAGCTTCTGCCAGCGAGCAGCAGCGTCCACCAGCGATCGGAATAGAGAGTATGGGGCGATGGAAGGGTAAGTAACAGCTGGATTAGATGTGGTGAAATTGCAGAGTGTGGAAATGCACCGTACAAATACACTACACCGTACATTAAATTGCATAATTCTATGCTTTAGTAGTTACGCGGTGCGGCTGCACCAGTGCACGCCATCGCGTTGTGATCTATTTCTGAAAACACTACCCCCCCTATTCCATTCCTTGAATACGACCCCCCCCTCCCCTTGCTACCTACCACTTTCCTAGATTTTCGTCAGGATTCAACTATCATTTTCAACTACCGGGAATAGTACTTGTATAGATCTTTGGGAGCCCCTCTCTTCTCAGACCAAACACGACCTTACCCCCTTCTCCCCTCCCCCCTCCCCCGTTGTGATCACCACAACGATGGCGTGCCCTGGGTCGCACACGCCGCAATCTCACGCTGCCAATCCATCTGTTTGCTATCCTCCCACGTTGCCATACTCTCTACTCCTGGTGAACGCTGGTGGACGCTGGTGCAAAGTATGAACGCAGCCTTTCAGACTATGAGAACATAATCTATTGTAAAGGGCACTACACTAAAGATACGCCCAGACAGGGGCGGATGCCCGACTGTCGACGTTGTTTGGCGTCATGAGGCAGTCTCGTGAGTTGTGTGGGGCTACTCGTGCCAATTCAGCAGAACGTGGCAGTCTTCACGGGGGTGCGGCGAATTGGTAGCGCGTGGAGTTCTGCAGGTGCAAACCTCACGTACTTCGATGTCCCAGTTTATAGGAATGTAGGGTCTTCGTGCGTCTTATGGGGATGTTAGTCCAAACAAAGTCTTGGAACGGTATTAGGCAAGAAAGGCCTTGCTAACTTCTATAAATCCCAGATGAAGCGGGAATTCCCATAGTTCGGATATTTGAGAGCTGCTGGATGTTCTCTGAAGTAATGATTTCGGAGTAAGCTCATCTGAAACTGAAGCGCAGAGCTTGTTCTGAGCTTTTTGTTCTTTTTTTGGTGATTGGGTCCAGAAGCTCAAGACTGGTTTATTGAAGGGAAGGGAAGGTAGGCAGTAACACAGCAATTAAGTCAGTAGCTTATATGTATTGTGCTAAGGATTACTAAACACTTCTTCCTGCACAATAATTTGTTCTTTGGCAATATCGAGTGGAAAATGGATATATGGCTTTTCCCAAAAGGTCTAGCAAATCCTTCGGGGACCTAAATCCTTTATCTTGTGAATCTGTTGGTGTAACGCTTGTACATGTGACAGGAAGTCCATCGCTGGTTTGAAGCAACTTTCACTGGTTGGGTTTCTCCTCCACTGCCGAAACAACAGCTTTAACGGCAGTCGTAGTCTCCATCAATAGCCCAGTTGAACGAGTTTGTCATCCTACTCTAGTACTGAAGGTTAGGCATGATTAGTTGCACGGGCTGGCTTCTAATCTCGTTGTTTTCTTCGTATATTCCTTGTTGGTCGATTCATCGCCCATGACTTCATGCTTTCTTTTTCGCTCTTACCATCGACTATCAGGCTTATTTCAATTCGTTCCAAGACAACTTTCTGACTTTTTGAATTTTATGGCGCAAACATACGGTGTCCAATTCTTTTCTGTTCCTGAAAGTCTATCGCACATATCCAAATCAAGAGCGGTGCTGGAAAGCCTTGATTCACCCGAACGGTCGCGTCCATAGGTCATTCCCGTGGCTATACTGAAGCCTAACAGAACTGGTAAGCTCCCCCTTAACGTATCACTGACAAAAAAACTGGTTAGAGAATGCATCTAACATATGCAACTTTTCTAGGAATAAAAAGCAAGTAACCCGAAAGCTTTAATGCCCTCGCCATCCGTATATTCATTGATGAAATGAATAAAAATCGTCATTAAAAGAATAAAGCTTTCGGGTCGATTAGTCTCATTTTAGGATGCGCCACGCTTCCAACATCTAGTTGGAACTGTCGTGGAGTTTTGCGTTTTGGGCTGGAAACGTAATTGAGTACAAACTGTACAGATCAGTGTTTTTTGCCCTCCCAGTAAGTCTACAGATAGCAATCAGCCAATATTGAAAGGATAGAGAAAGCTCCTTTTCTTTATCCTTTCAATATTGGCTGATTGCTATCGGACTCTCCCGCCAATCCTGG